GAAATGACTATCGCTCCATAATCACACTCACTCACTAAGGGTAAGATCCGTTTATCGAGGAGAAAGTAGTCAATCCGTGAATAGCTCTTAGGAACAGGGAAAAGAACGAATACCGTCTCAGGGTCGGATTACGAAAACGCCACACATCAACCACTCCACAGGTGCCAAGAAACAAATCAACTGACTGGACCGATCTAGAAAGAGAGATCCTCCCCACTGCACCACGATCGAGGCACGACAGCACACAGCCCACACCTCCCCCAACCATGAGATTATGTGTTGAAATATTAGGTAAATTTGAAAAAAGCGTATTAAAAAATGTTTGATCATCCCAATTTGGAGCATATACCGAGACTAAAATGACTGGAAGTGCATATAGTTTTCCCACCACAATTACATAACATCCAGCAGCGTCCGTTTTAACACTGGATGCCGTAAATTGCACCTGTTTACTAACTAAGATGGCCACCCCTCTCGATTTAGATTGGAAATTAGACTGAAACACCTGACCAGACCAGCGGCTGCTTAGATTTGCACTATCTGCCTCATGCAAATGGGTCTCCTGCAAAAAAGTAATATTAGCATTAAGTTGTCTTAAATGTGTCATAACTTTCCTAAATTTCACTGGACCATTGAGGGATTTCACATTCCAACTAACACAGTTAACTGGGTGAATGTTAATGAACCTGGTAATATCAGAACTGCTCACATATGGTCAATTGGACTGCAGTGCAATAGACACAAACCATCACGAAAAAACAACCTGAAAAAGACATTCTCAAAACAAATAGATCCGGTATAGTCCCACCCCTTTCTCCTAAAAAAAAAACGGAGAACCCAACAAACAAAAAAATCCACACATTTGTGCTTATACTGGGGGGCTAAACTCCCTGTCTGGACTCCCGCCACAACTAAATAACAATAACCAAAAAAAATTAAAGAAAGGGGTTCTTTAAAGTATTATTACTGTTTATGTTCCTTGCAGCACAGATAAATAAATCACTAACTAAGATCTGGACAGACCCCCTGTGAAACTCTCATACATAGAAAAAAATGAGGAATGTTGTCCCTGAGAATAAAGTCTGAAATTAAATCAAGATATAATGCGGGACATAAAGTTGGAAGGTTCATTACAACCTGACAGTCATAATGGATCGATGAGGGTTGGACCTGCAGTCAACGCCGGTCCTCGTTGTCCGTCGCTGAGATGATCCTCTTTTTAACGTAGTCCATTGCTTTATTGGCATCCAGGAATTCCTTGCTTTCCTCCCCATGAGAGATGTGGAGCCGTGCAGGAAAAAGCAGGCCGTAACGAACATCACGTCGGTTGCGAAGAAGCCTCCTCACCTCCGTAAACGCCGCTCGAGCCTTGGCCACAGCTGCTGTGTAGTCAGATGTGATGATAATCGGTGAATCTTTAAATCGAAGAGGACCACGACTCTGAGCCCGACGCAGTATTTCCACACATTCTTGATAATAGTGCAGTTTAGCGACATTAACCCGCGGCTTACCGCCTGACCTGTTTCCACCTGGAGAGCGATGGGCTCGGTCCACCAGTGGCTCTTTATCCATGTGTAGAACCTCTGCTAGCAGTTTAGCCACTGCTGAAGTGGAGCTGGATTCTGGCGTCTCTGGAACTCCAATAATCCGCACATTGCACCTTCTCATGCGTCCTTCCATATCGTCACATTTCTTTTTGAGCCCGACGACTTCTTCTTTCAGTTCCAACACGGTGGTGCGTAGATTAACAACCTCRTCGGACCAGGACGATAGGCCACTCTCCACCTCCTTAACGCTCTGTTTCACGTGGTCCAGATCTGCACGCAGTAGCATCGTGCCGTTAGCCACTTCAGCTCTCACCGCTTGCAGCTCTCCTTTAATAAGAGTAAACTCTTCAGCCAAAGCCGCTTTTATTTCAGATTTGATCACAGTTGAGAGATCGTTTTTTATAGAGTCAAGAATGTCAGACTTCAAGGAGAGTGCGTCCGCCTCGCTGCGGGAGGGAGAGGAGGGCGCCGAAGCTCCAGTCCGAGCTGCAGTCTTCTCCAAGGCGGCGTCAGGCCTAGTAGCCGTCGAGCTAAAATGTTTGGCTTTCCTCGAGTTTGTCGCCATTTTTCTACTCTTCCAGGCAAGAATCACTCAGGGGTCAAGTCCGGACGGACCAAATGTTCAAAATAGCAAGGACATTTAGTATAGAACCACAAACTGAACGAGTCGGAGCGGGAGCCACGCGACACACGTCTCACTCCTCCGCCATCTTGCCCCGCCTCCTTTCTTTTCTAAAGAGGATTTCTGCCAGCTTCTCCAAAAGGTGACTCTGTTGGAGCTCAAGATTCATCGTCTGGAGAAGATAAATACTTTGGAGGACTCAAGATGTGTTCAAATGGGTGAGAAGCCTGAGAGGAGAGATCGACATGACGAGGCAATGGGAGCTGTTTCTGAGAGTAAAACTGTATGGAACTCTCTTGGTGCCAGACCAAAGAATCTTTCAGGAAGGATTCAGTTCTTAGATGACAACAAATGGCCAGAATTGCAGAGAAATGCCTTTTCTCCACCAGCAAGGAGAAGAATGCAGTGACAGGCTGGAATCAAAACAACTGATAATGGCCAGAGAAATGAAGACAGAGCAGTCTTTCTTCAAAACAGATTCACACCACAACACATTATTTCTACAGTGTAATCCATTTTGTAAGGTTTAGACAGTTCTGATACATTCTATGGTACAACCTTCAAAACTCTTAAAACTTTTTATAAAACCCTTAAAAATGATTAAACGCCAGCTCAGTTATATTAAGTCCAATGATTTAAGACCTGTTTAAATTTTGAATTGTGTTTCCATTATAAAGTATGCCTGAGCTACAGAGCTCAAAATGTGTCAATGTTTTGACAAAATCCAATGTTGAATAAATAGAATTGTTTTGCAGTTATTGGGGGAATTTTATTTTCTGTGTAAGACATACTATTACCAAAAGTCACAATATTCCCCTACTGAATCGCAGGTTTTGAGGAATTTCTTTACAGGATTCCCCAAATGTGTGAGGGGAGTTGAAAATCCAAGACCAAGACAGAAACAGATCTTGGAATATCTGCCATACAGTGACAAATTGTGTTTCAACTATGCTAAATAAAAGTGGAAAACAGAGTGGTGTAAACTGCAATGCAAACATGGGCCATCATTCAGTGAATCTGTACCTGTGGGTGGGTCCTCCTCCATTGGGGGCACCAGCAGTTTTTCTCCAGCTTTAAGGTTACTTATGGCTATGTCCAACAGCTCAGCTGGTTTGGCATTTAGTGTTTGGGCTTTATGTAAAATGGAAGCTGCTTTCATCCTGTTACCTAAATGTGGGGAAAAAATATTTTAAATATAATAATTAAACTAAGAAAGCCAAGCATAAAGTCATAAAAGTTGGTCACTAGCTTTTGAAATTTTGGAATTATATTTTTATTGGTATTGGTAATCTCAACAAAAAGTCAGTAATAGTTTTCTCAACAATGATCATATAAGAATTACTTTTACAAATACAGTTCTTCTTTTTATTTGTTTTGATAACTGTCTCTCCTTCAACTACCAATTTTTTGGTTTTGTGGTCAAGTTAGGGTTGGGCGACAAATCAATTTAATCAATTAATTCAAATTTGCCATTTATAAAGATTTAATTT